GAGGTCAGAAGTCCGTGTCCCAGCACGGCTTATGCGCAACTGATGCCAAGTTCTGGAAAGTCATATTTGCCTGGTATAGCACTCTCGCACCCAGAGCGATCTCTATGCGAATTGCAATTGATCTGGTCGTCTGCGGCTCTACAGCAGCGGAGGCAGAAACGGTTCAGTTTAGGCTCGACACTGGGTTGTCATCAATACAAGATCCATTCCTGGAGGAAATAGGATAGCGCACAGCTCAATAAAACTTGCTCCCCAACCACCAAACGTGCACTGAGCCCCATTCGGGAAGCGCACATCCATCTGCCCACCAGCGTCATTCGGGTCCAACTGGGACTTACTCACGTCGAGACAGCCGGTGACCTAGAAAAGACGCGCTGTGATAGCTTACACGCGTAAGGAGAAGGCGTCATACCTGAATCCACGAACCGTCATCTGCAGTCACGACTGAGGCGGCCCTTATGAAACCTTCCGGCATTATTCTCGTGCAAACGTTATTCCCAGGAGTACAGTACGTCTCGGCGTCCATCTCCGCATCAGATATGAGCTCTATGAGCGAGTTGGTTGTGGAGGAAGCGCTCGTGGCCAAGACAGACATACCGCCGGCCCTTGTGGGGAGCAAAAGCGCAAAATTTGTCTGGTCGACAACGAAGACTGTAGTTGAGGCAGAGGATTCACCCGTCGGCTCTGGTGTTGGTCTCAAGTCCAGGTCTTGCTGGGCAGTCCCATAGGCGTCCTGGCGGCGTTTTATCACCGCCGCCCAGGGCTTAGAGGATCGAGTCCGAGAAGGCAATATATTTGGGTCTTTCCAAAAGCGAGAGAGATAAGATATGTTTCTTGAAGATGCAGGTACGGGAGAACGAGCGTAAGGATAGAGCGGGTTTGGACGAAGATTATACGGGTCAGCCCAGTGACTACGAACGCCAGAGCCTATGAGAGCAACAGCATAAGTGAGAGTTGCCCAAAGTAGGGATAAAAGTAGAGATATGAATATGAGCATCAAGGAAAGAGTCGCCCCGCAACTGGGAGTTGAAGTTGTTAGAAAAGTCGTCCGAGTCGGGAAAAATGTGACGGGCCGTGTTACGACTGGCCTTAGGCCTTAGCGCCCAACATTGTCACCGTGACGTTAGAGTCACTCGGTGAACGTCATAATCCCCACCGAGCTCTATAGTAACATCCTGAGAATCCACATTCACGATTCGTTCATCATATATAACGCCCGATGGACCAAGAACCGCCTCCCGAAGGACAGAGAACCAGTACGTCATCCGATACCTAGCTTTTATCGAGCTTTATCAACGAACTCACCTCCAACTATAGCTGGCCTTCGTGACGTCCCCCGTCCAGAGCAAAACCAATTCTCTCAAGGACAGGCCAGCTTTAGTGATAGCTCCGGCCCCCTCTTTTATATGTACGTTAAGATGACAGAGGGAGAGGACGATAAAATGGCCAAACGGTGGCAAAAGGATGCAGACGGCATCCTCATTTTTGTGAGTCCTCATAGTAGTCTCCGCGCAGGGGGGGCAACAGTCAACGTGAATACTGTAGACTGGCTTATTCTCTGCTGCCCTCGCAGCATTGGCCGCCGTCTCGGTTCAAGACCTCAAGCCAAATTCACAAGATACCACTGCATTCTATCTCGCGAACATCTATCAACTTCTCGCCGACCCAAACATATCTCGTGAATCGATCCTTGCCACTCCAGCTCAACCACCCCCTTTCTCTCCTCCGAGATCAGCAGTCTTGGTCAACTCATTCTGGTTCCTCAGTTTGGTCATCAGCCTCACATGTGCCCTACTGGCGACTATGTTGCAGCAGTGGGCGCGTCGATATGTCACAATTACACAACCGCCACGGTACAGCCCACACAGGCGAGCACCGATCCGTGCATTCTTTGCTAACGGGGTGGAAAAGTTCTTCCGTGGTCGGTAGAAGCATTGCCCGCTCTTCTACACCTGGCTCTGTTCCTGTTCTTTCTGGACTGGGTGTTTTTCTGTTCAACATTAACCACACTGTATTCAGTGTGGTTATTTGGTGGATTGGACTTACAGGAGCGGTATACGGATGCATCACGTTGATGCCAATCTTCTGGCACGATAGCCCCTACTATTCCCCACTTTCTTCCTCGGCATGGTTTTTCTATGCTGGCATCCATTATGCAGTCTTCAAATTTGTCTACTTTATTTGGGACTACGACTACTTCATTCCCTATGTAGAGCCGGAAACATATGGCAGACGACCTTTTGAGGGTATGACGAAGGCCGTTCAAGACATAGGCTCGGAAATGTCGGTGGAAATCACCAGTCGTATCCTGGCATGGACAATTGGCGCTCTGGATGAAGATAAGGATCTTGAACAATTCTTCGAAACCATCCCCGACTTCTGCGTTTCGGACGTGGTCCTCCGCCTTGGCCTCAACCGCATTTTCGCCAAAGTGGACGGGACATTGGCAGTGGCACTTTACGTGTTCATGACCCATAGTTTAGTCTCGGAGGCAGACAAGAAGAGGCGGGTCATCACATGCACGAAAGCTGTCGATACAGCACATCTCAGCTATGCAACTATGTATGTCCTCGGGCGCATTTTCACAGCAGGCGCGGTAGTGTTGGGATCGGTTGAAATTGGGCGATCTCTGAGAAGCACCGGCGACGCTTTATGTTCTCAAGGAATAATTGCCGGTGTCATTGCAAGTGTGCCGGAACCGGAACGGGATGACCATTGGATCGCACTTGCCATGGATCAACTAGGCGTATCAGAAGAGGTTCTTCGATATTACCTCGCGAATGGTGACAGCGTTCTACTTGCCAACATGATCCACATCACTCGCCCGCTCTTCCGCTTGTGTCTCAGCAAGACTCTACTGATAACTATTGATCTAACGCACGTCCTGGTAGGTATCTCCAAATTCGACATCCGAAATACTCTTCCCGAACTGCAGCACGACTTCTGTGCTTTGTGGAATGAAATCACTCGAGAAGCACACATTCGCGAATCCGAGTCTTCTTTTTCTTATTTTATTCTCAAACCCATTCGGCACCATTATGACGCTTTACATCAAGACACCGATGCTGCCTCGATCAGTGACTCGCTTCTATTGTGGAATATCCCGGGCCATACCGTGATAGGCGAGATCACCGACATCACCTTACCTTCTACAGAGCCTGTCCTATCATCCATTCCCGCATTGGGCGCAGATCATAGGCGCATACATTTTGCAGAACAGATATCGCTTCACGATCTACCTGATGTTACTCCAACCGTAGAATCCACACCACCGACCAATGTCGACAGCAAGAACGTCGTTACTACTTCTCTGACTTGACAACACCATGTCCCACTGACACCACTACCATCACCATCTCTCCCACTTCCGACTCTGAGTCAAGCCCGCATGCCCCCGGAGTGTCGACATTCACACCACACTCGCCCTTCGCACCACCATTTAGCGAGACCACTGATCCGCATAAAAGCGTAGATCTCGGTGTTACCTCCGACATGACATTGTCGTCTTCCCCAGCCTCAGCTCCCGACTACATGACCCCTGCAATCACTCAGTCATCACTAGCTTCTCCGGCATTCCCGATTGATCAAGTGACTGCTGCTCCGGTCCCTCTTCCCTCAACAACGGCCGTTTTTCCCGCACCGCCGCCGGTAACCTCGGTTTTGCGCCCAACCACTAGCAGAGCGAACGATGGAACAGTCGGTGATCCTCCGGACTCCGATCTGCGTTATAATGTGGATGAGTCCCAGGAGTTAGCTATGTCTGTCCCTGAGATGGCTACAGATGTTTTGCGGCATCCCCTTGACGCAGCATCCGTCTCTCGCGACATTGATCATTCACAGTAGAGGCGAAACAGTCGCGTAAGTTGGTCTTTGCCAATACTGCATATAGAAATAACCCATTGGGTTCTTATATTCTCTTTGGTGTTCTCAAGGCTCACTATAACTGTTTTACCAAGTCAACGTGCTTATGAGGGTCGGGTGCTGCCTCGAGGATGTAGTAGTTGGGGATGAAGCTGCATTGTCTGTGCTTATCTCAGCGTCGGGTAATTGTACAATGTCCGCTATCCTTCCCATGCTGTCATCCTGACCCCGCTGTCCCTAATCCCCATTCCAACGGTACATAAGGTACTATACTTCGTCAATATATGACTCTGAACCCTTGTCAGTCTCCGTTCCGTCCTGGTCCGCTTGTGTGAAGCAGAGTTTGTTTATATAATAGGATGTTCGCTGCTCGCTAGTTCTTGGTTTGTCGTTCCGTGTCTCTTTTCATATAACCAGGATATTGCATAGACGTGGATAATCGATTTCTCAATGGTTTTCTGTTTCGAGAAATACTTGGTGGAAAACTGATCATTTATCTCATGAACGAAAGCGTTGCCTTGGCGTTTTGTCCTTCTCCCCGTCCTACATACAGACAACCATAGCTTCGATAAGTGGAGGAGTCGGCGTCGGCCAGTCTTTGAATTATATAATCAGCATAGTGGAGTTTCCCTGGCGACACGCGGTGAAACTGCAGGTCACAAAGATGGGCCACTGATGGGCCCCAAATTTCTAGCCGAGAGGGAAATAGCTGAACCAATGTACGCTCCTCCGTGTACTGTTTGATTCCTTGCGCGTTTGCTCCTACCGTGACTTTTTGATGATTCCATGATCCGCCCCGCCGGTGCCTCGTCCGTCAATGAAGGCCCGGGCGCACAAAGAGGAGCAAGGTCAGCGGAGGGAATCCACTTGGCAGTGAGGAGTCCATGGAGTTCCCACTTGCAGCAAGGACATCTGCCGGTTGGGGCGGAAAGCTAAGGTGGAGATGGGGGATTTACGTAGGCGCCGAAGACGGCGCTCGCATCTTGGACCGAATACGCGCGCACTAGAGGAGAGGGCGAGAGAACATCGTGGGCGAGATTCCTGCTCTAAGGCGAGAGTTTTAATGAATTCAGCTTATACTCGTGAACTGAAAAGCCTCAAAATCTCGTCATATGGTTTCATACAACCTCCGTAATTACTCCCGCTTAGCTCAGCTGGTAGAGCGCGTCACTAGTAACGTGATCGTGGGAAGATCACAATACATGACGAGGTCAGTCGTTCAAGTCGGCTAGTGGGAATAATTTTTTTTCTAAACGACCACATTGAGCTATTCGCCCACCGCCAAGGACGGGTCGACTTGAAAAACGGGGCGTTAACATTGCAGTATATGTCCATCGGAGATGATACAACAAAATGTCCTGATACTATCGAGGATTGGAGACAAAAGGCTACAGTGTCAAGATAAAAATACAAAGGGTGTACGGCAGCGTAGAAGTAACGTCCATATGCATTCGATTTATGGGCTGACCTGCAACCACATTAAGAGGGCGTGGTGTCCGTTGTGCAAATAAGGTCCGCTTGCAAGTCCGAGTTCCGAGTCTTATTCTTACTTATAAAGTACTCATGCTCTCACGGCTCAGAAGGTTGGAGGTTGGAGGTTGGGGGCTGAACCAATCTAGATGAAGCGCACGTGCCAAACATCCGCACCATTTGCGGCGCGTTGGAGACCAGCAAAGGTGGTACATCCGCCGAGTAGATCAATGCGTCGCAGGCCAGCGGGATCGGGTGCGACTCTGTTGCGCTGGTTGAAACTTGACGACGCCGCCCGCCTGTGATTTTCACTCGGGAGCTGGTTGAAGTCCGCCTGACTGGCGCGCTCAGAGAGCTTGGCGTGGATAACATGAAGAACGTCTCGCACGGTCACGGCGTGGCCGTGCACCCCAGAGGCGTAGAAGTAACCGCCAGAGACGCCCGGAATCTCAAGGACGAGGTTGGGAGCTTGGTTTGAGATCGCCGGTTCGTTCATCGCGTGCGGGTTGCTGGTCGGATGGAGGCACGCGGCGGATGGAGGTTGAACAGCGTTGAAGTTCAATTGAGTCGGTCGGTGGCCGGTGTAGACGAGTAGCTCACTCAATACACCATACCTTGATCTTTCAGGGCTTACGGGCGGTGTCGGCAGTGAATCTAGAAAAACGGAACCAGTAAATTTTTTTTTAAATAGGTCAGCGGAACATGAGGGCAGGATATAGATCGGATGTACGCACGCTGGTGTTGTAGGAGATGGGGGAGCGGGACCGTACCCATGTGTGGCGCACCCGGCGTCAATGGATATTGGGACGGGTACACGTATCCGGAGTGCATCGAGACGGACCTAGCGGACCCTGCTGGGGATGGTAGACTCACCGGGCTCAGCATCGGGGCCACGGGCAGCGGTACCCCGGGGGCGCCTGAGACAGTGGTCCCAGTCAGCGTGTTTAATGACCACGCTGGGCTAGACAGGGAGTATGATTGGCGCTTCGATGAGTGAGAAGAGGGCATAGCGGCGAATCAACGAAGTACGGGGCAGGAAAAGAAAAGCGGGAGGGGGGAAAGAAAAGGCTGCGAACTTGCCAGTGCTGGGTAAAAGTCTTGTGTATTAAATACCAACCCGACCGTGTTGATATTCGAACACAAAGTGCAACAACCCAATGTGGATGGCCTCCATGGCGGGCTTTGGGCGCGGGGGGGCGCGAGGAGCGCGGCAGGGAAAGGCAGGGCAGGGCGAGGGGAGCGGTGAAATTTATTGATGAAAGCGAGAAGCAGCCACAGACCATCGATAGCGGACGACCGGACGTCGGGATATAACTAAAATTGGAAATAAGCGCTTAACTCTTGCCCGCCCGACTACCCCGATTTGTCACTGTCCGCCCCGCCACATGGACAAATTGATCGAGCCCTTGTTCTCCAAGGGGCGGGGCCTCATAAACGCCCATCTGTGGCGCCAAAGGGGCCCCGGCTGAATTTTTGACTCATCCCATAGCGACACACGGGGCCGCGCGGCACCGAAGTGACATTGTAAGTTCCTGAGTCGGTCCTCTGACTCGGTCTGTAGAATGTTTGCCTTGACTTGCCTCTTGTAGCATTATAACTTTCCAACATAGTACTCCCTTAGTCGTTATTGTAAGTAGAATGGAAAGATAAAAGAAAATACGTATCGGGGGAACGCTGCATCGGGTATATATGTGCAGGGTCGTGTTTCTCAGGCACCACAGTCACTCAACTTGCGATCACATGTCAGAATCAACCGACAGGGCCTTTCAGCAGGCTTTTTACTCTCACTTTCAGTCTTCTCGTTCTGGTTTGCGTCCCTTCTGACACTATACATTCTTATCTGACTCGTTGTCGATTACAGGTCTCGCTGCACAGTTAGATGCTTTCAAGGACAACCCCCCTTCCGACAGTGATTCTCACGAGCTCGCTTTGAATATAAGAAAGCTGAGAAAAAGTTTGACGGACGCAACAAGCTTCCTGCCTGCTTATGATCAACGACAATGCCAAGCTGTGCGTCCTCGTGTAGCTCATACGAACCCCGAGAATGAGCTCACTCCCCCATTTAGCAAATGGAGCACTTAGAGCAGACCTTGGAGCAATTGCGTTCTGAATCCGCACCCAAGACAAGATTTTCTTTCAAGCGCAAGACGAGCAAACCTCCGCCTTCGGACGCTACTCCAGCGCTTTCCCCTTCATCACGCGACGCTAAGACGCATGGAGAGGGAGACGGTGTACTTGTTATGTCTACCTTTCATAAGCTAAGCTCCCATTCCCATTGTCGACTGTCTTCACGATCTATTCCAACCTTCGGAGCGGGCCCGCCGTCGTCTGATCTGACAATTTCGGATCTCGACCGTTGCATCGTCGACCTTTGCAGCCCAGTTGAAGCTGCGGCACAAAATCAGTTTTCCCTAACAGCCCTCTACGTCCGGGACCTGAAAGAATCGATCTTGATCCTACCCAACGTGAAGGGCAGCGTGCTCTTTCATAACCTGCATAGATGCACCGTGATCGTCGGTTGTCAACAAGCAAGTAACTCTTTGTTTCATGTCGGAGCCTGCCCTTATCTATCTGACGCAGTTCCGCATGCACAACTCGACCGGCGTCCGCGTATATCTCGCTTCTATCTCTAACCCAGTCATTGAAAACTGCTCTTCCATCGCGTTTGCGGAGTATCCACCATTCGCTTCTTTACTCAGCCCATCGGCCGTGAAAGCAATACCACCGAATGTCAGCACTGCAGACCCCTGATTCCCCTTTGTTCGTTGAAATGTCTAACATCCCCTAGGGTAAGCATATCGATGTGCAAGATTTCTCCCATCTCCGGCCGACGCCATCTCCCAATTGGTTTATTTTACCACCTGGGAATGAGAACTGGGACGACCTTCTGGCCCCATCACCGCTAGGTGTGGACGCCGTTCTGGCGGCGCATCTGCCTGAAGCGACGTATAGCAAACATTGCTTTTCTTTCTCGCTTATGGATTGACCCCTCATTATTACAGAACGATGTGAGTGTCGACGTTGACTGTGTTCGAGGTGCGCTTGCGGGGTCATATATGGGTGACGGTGAGGGTTCTAGCTCCTACAGGGATGACTTGTAGTTCTGGCCACTCCGGCTAGCGTCCAAACTAGAATCTTACATTCTGGAAGTTCATGTACCCAGTCTGTACCCCATCATTTTCCTTCTCCACCGCGAGGTCTCCGAGATGATGCGAATCCGTGTACAACACCATGTAATCACTTAACTAGATGTCTAGCTAAGATGAGGCAATTGTTTGATTTGCCGCCGCTTTCTCGCAATCGCTCTGACGTGTTAGTGAAATGCTGCATAGTCACGTGAAAACTATCACGTGGTCCGGTAACTTACCAGTAACTTTTTATTTATTTAAATCTGCATTTATATCCTGCAACATGTAGCTATGACAAAGACACGGTCCCCGGGGGTGGGGTTGGACATGGCGGGGGAGGGGTGGGAGAGGTAGCGGAGTGCTGGACGGGTTACCAACTTATTTACCCCTGGTCTGGGGGGTTAGCAGTGGCAGTACCGAGACTGGGTAACATGTGAACGTTGGAAGGCTAATAGCAGGAGGCATTGAAAAAAATGAACAACAGGTGTAGCTATTGGCAGGAACAGTACTGTATGTGGTTGTAGACAATACTGAGTGCTAAGTGTTGAAGAGTAAAGAATAAGAGTGCTCAGGTGACATCACGTTGATTAGAGAGTGATAGGGTGATCGGGATGCTGACATTGAGCAAAGAATAGCCATATGCTTTGCTGCTCGTCACAGTATTCGGCGTCTCCAAAATATTTGCGAATGTAGAGACTTTGAAGTGTGGGTAACACCTCCGTGATACTTTCCCTAGTGAGCTCTTGCACTGATGATATGACATTTAACAGCGGCTCGCCAGGCAAACGTAGCGTCCGGACAGTAGTGAATGGGTGGAAAAGTTCCAGCCATTCACTATCATCCATGACAAACTCAAAATCATGCACGGAAAGGAATGGGTCGTTGAGTATGTTGAGCTCCGTAATGCTGGAAAGTAGGGACGAAGACTGGGTGCATATCTGTGTGATAGACGAGACTTGCCAACCTGGCTCTTCGTCTTGATATTGATCTTGGACCTCTAGCTCGAGAGCTTTGGAGGTATTAGTCCCCTCTAATTGATGAAGTTTGATGTTGACGTGATTATGGCCAAGTGTGACCTCCGCACGATTGAATGACCCAAGCGTCCAGGCATGGTAGATGACTTGTTGGATGTCAAAGAAAGTCTGTCTGAAGAACGTGATCGTTAAAGTTTTGAGTTGAGGGGCATCGATCTGAGCCAGGAGATCCTCCGAGTACTCGTCAACACCCAAAAACTTGAACTCTATGAGAGCGGGGAGGATGGCACGTATCAATGGAGGTGGAAGTCGAGTTGTTTCAGATATATCAGCCAGGAATTCGATGCGAAGGTACGTGAGCTTGGTTAGGGCTGAGAGGCTTGTGGCCATCGCCTTGGGTGAAATATAATGAAGATTTAGAAGGCAGAGCTCGGAAAGATTGTTGGAAGAGGAAAGAAGTTGAGGTAACGTCAGAAATGGAAGGTCCTCCAAATAGAGTGATCGTAGACGTGGGGCGGAAACATCTAATAACCGAACGGGAACCGGATCCCACAGAGTTGATTTAAGGCGAAGACTTGTCAGTGCAGGGAATGGCTTCTGTATCATCACTGTGTCCAATCTCTCACATTCTGCGCATGGTAGACGGAGATCGATTTCGCATATGCG